TTTTTTTTTTTTTTTTTTTTTTTTTTTTTTTTTTTTTTTTTTGTGAATAAACAAATAACTATTGTTAATTTTTTAATAATCTTACCTTTATAGTAGACCTCACGGTACATTGTTGGACAAGCGGATTTACCATTAATTTTCGGAGTTTTAAAATCAATATTGGTACGTATGGGTCGATGTAATAAGGGTTGCGGCGGTCGATAATTATTGCCTAACGGAGCTTTTGGATGATCTGGACTGCCTTGCATAAGACGACGTAAAGCGTATAACTATATGAACGAAAGGAAACGGGAAAAAGAAAAAGATGTACAAAAAGGAAGATAACTTTAAAGTTTATTCAACTTTATGGCAGTATTTTACACACGTATGCATAAACAAGTAGTTATTTTGAAACTCTAATATATTCTACTTGTAGTCGGTTACTATCTAGCAGCATAATCTCATTTATAATTTTAGTAGAGAAAGCGCGGGCTTATACATACATACGTACATATATCACTAATTACATCGGTAAACCCTTATAAACAAAATATTATCAAATGCATTGCGACAGTGTCACTATTAATACAAATATTTATCAGAACTACTCTAAAAGTAATTTTACAACGGATTATAAACAATTGTGCATATAGATGATACAAGATACTTAACTATGATATACATAAATACATAAATGTAATTCTGGACTATCAGTTTTGAAAAAGACAAGCAGGAAGTTTTCAGCGATCACCTTGAAAAATTTCCTCTTTAGCAGAAGTTATTCTTACTCAACGAAAAGCGAAGTTGCAAACACTTGACATACATTCGCTATTTTGTATGAGAAAGCTATCCTCCATTTACTGCCAATGGAACAAATGGCCTGTCATACAACCGGCTGCCTATGATGACAAAATACCATGGACTAGAGAGCGAATTGCTGTCCCATCGATCATATTCTTCTTCTCATATTCTAGGTCCAGGGAATATTGTTTGTTAGCAAAACCCACAAGAATTGTTCAAGGACAAATATTTGGATCAAATGATAAGAAACTCCACCATGTTTTAAGAAATATGACAACTCGTTGTAAAAAAAAAAAAAATCATCGAAATATTGGAGTTAGATTGATTGTATTACTCTTGAAGGTGATTATGGCGACGTTCTTTGTAAAAGGTAAGATTTTTCCCTTAGTTCCGCGAATTATTGACCAACATATTAAGTGTATAAAGTCTACCAGTTTTTGTAGATGCAGTGGCGTTCAAGTTTGTCGAACCAATAATGTTCAGCCTACTTTCTTGAATTTTATGAGCCGTGACATTTGATACACGACTTCCATGTTAAGAGCACACCGTTCCATATATGTTAGTCTATCTAAGAATATAGACAAAATTTTTCTTTATTTTCAAAGTATTTAATGGCAAGGAGAATGAAAGATTATTAGGGATTGTAGTAGACTAGCAGGATGAAATTTCGAAGAAATTTTATTACGCAATAATAAAGACTTAAAGCATATTTATTTGTATCCTATAGTTAACTTTTATATCGAGCTATTCTAAAAGTCGATTTATTTTTTTTATTATTATTATCAGTTTGTTACGCAATGTTAACCACTGTATTTCGTTTTATTTATTCAGGATGCATAACTTAGTTGTTGTATATATTTAGCATTATGGTTAAAGCATATGTAAAATACTTAAAAATTGTAACGCTTGATTGAAGCAAGGGTTGTAGTTAATCTTAAAAATAAATATCAAATCTTCTCGCATACTAATACAGCAGCATCTCGTAGTACCTATAATACACTATTAAAGTTTTACTTGCTCTATGCGATAACTAAAGCAGCCATGGAGCCAAGCAGTCAGCCAAGCCAGTCACTGCATGGAGGAATTGATAAACAAGTCTGTTCAAGTTAAGTGTTCGTAATAGGAAGTCAACAACACTTAATCTACTTAATTTGTTTATCAATTGATACTGAAGAGATTTTTTTGGATTATATATTTTCCTTTATGCTAAAGATATCTTCTTCTTCTTTTTTTTTTTGTTTTACTTTATAATCTCTAATAGTGATAAAATGATGATAAAAACTATTAAAGAATTTGTTTACATGGACGATTTATTAAGATACAAGGCTTAAATGAAATTTTTATAGAAAAAGTTTAAATAATCGTCTACCGTCAGAAAATTATATGAGATTTTATGTAAACAGCAAGCAGAGTAATCGTTACATCGCATAAGGGGGGAAAAAAAATCGAAAACAAATTCAAATTTTAAACGGACTGTAGAAATTACATTTTTACCCATTATAGAAAATTCACAGACATATATGTAGAAAATTCCAATTTATTTAATTTTTTTTTTTTTTTTTTTTTTGTATGTATCATATAAGAGAAATATTTCAAAATTGACTTAAAACCGATCGATGTGAAAGGTAAATTTAAACACTTTGAGTTCTTTTGCCAAAGTTCGTGTCCCACATTACTCTTGTACGTCATAGTTATAAGAAAAATGAATATGTAAATAAAATATGAAACTCTCGCATTATTTTTATTGCAGTATGCGAATATAGATAAGGACTAAATGACGAGTTTTCATAAAAAAAAAAAAAAAACCAGGCAAAAACATATTCGACGTCATCAAGCGAAAGCTTAACAGCTGATCATAGCAAAACTGTTTACTTTATTAGCAAGGCATCATGCGATACTGAGAGTTAAAAATTTTAGTTTAAATAAGACAACGTGGGCAGTAACGGTATAGAGAGCTAGCAAATTTAATGAAATTTTTAGATTTCTATAAAAGACAGAGACTCTCAGTGGGTTGTAGAAGATTGCTTGTAGAACGGTTAGGAATATTGTAATTTTCCTTACCTAACAACATCGAGGAGAAGCCGGTAATAACTCGTATATAATAAAACTTCTTTACTTTACTTTACTTTAACTTTATAAAATAAACCTACATTTCTCTAAGGGGGATGAGCCTGACCAAACTCGTATAGTTTGATAACGCCTATATAGTCAGCTCGTCCAAGTTCAATCCGCATGTAGAGGTAAGTTTAAGCGGAATTTGTCAACATATTAAATATATGTAAATTGATATAATAATCCGGGATGAATTTCGAATATATTTCCTTCGGTTTCAATGGACATCAGATTGTGTAAGCAAGATTGGAGGAGGCGAAAATAGGATACTGAAGTAAATAATTTCGCACCATCGGCGTGCTTTGAAGCACTACAGTTTTATTCCATTCATCAATTTTGAATATACGGAAATCGCCTGAATAGAACTTAAATCCTTTAGTTTCAGAATTCGGGGACCGAATAAAAGACTTTTGTTTGCCTAAATAAAAGGACAGACTCTGACTTACTTAAGAAACACTGCACTTTGGAAAGAGCTCATAACGGGCTCGCCAAGCATTTTAATTATACGGATACCATTATATCGGGCCAGTCTGCTCAAGCAGGTGGGTATTGTGATTAAAATTACCGCTTATTTCAACGTGAGTGTGTTTCAATCGAACTATAAATTCTACATACGATTAATACTCCTTTTATCGAACTAAGGGATGTATTATAGAGAGAATATCTTGCCTTTTCCACTGTGGGGTTTATTTGATATCATTAGTAATGTTATACATTCTTGACTGTATATTAATGAGCATCTGATGCTAGCAAGCCGAAAACTAAACTTCCATTGTAAGAAGTGGATGATAGATTTCAAAATTCAACGTGAACCTGAGCCCAAAGTGAATTTGATAGTAAACGGAATCGTTAAAAATGTTTACGATTATCATGCGTATGTAATCAGGTATAATAAGTTCTCGTTCTCTATTTATCTCTCGTTACCTTGGTTGTTAACTTTTTAGCTTTTCTTTTTAAATTTCTTGCAGTTGATTGGCGTATTAATATTCGTTGTGTTGTACAGTTACATTAGAGTCAAACGAATTCTATTAATTATAGAAAGTGACAGTAGTTTTACAAAATCAACTTTACATATAAAGTCAATCATATTGATTTAATTATATGCATGGATGCACTAATGAAAAGATTTATCATACTCATTATCCATGTGGTCGAAAATTGTAAAATAGATTGTGTCATCGTGATCTATCGTCAGATAATTTTATTATGCCCCGAACTGAATCGTGGATCAACTCCCAACAATGGCTTTTTGGGGTTGCTTCAACTAGGACGGTCTCAATTTCAAAATCGCAGAATTCAATTTTCACTAGTGTCAGTTCTTCTAATCGATCGAAAGTATTAAGCGCGACTAACCTCTCAGTCTTCTGGATGTCAACATATATGGTGTTTTTGTCAAAGGTGAAATTTGAACAAACGAAAATATTTCTTATCCTGCCGTCTAATCAATGCGGTATAGGACATCTAGACATATCGTCCTGTGCCAAAGCCTTCCCATAATGCGTAACATTTAAATTGTCAGTCTTACTTAATCGCCCGGCTTTTAAAAGAACGATGTGTTGCATATATTAATAGCTTGGAAATGTACCTCTCTGGCCGAAAGAGTATTAATTTGTCTACTCAGCTCGATATTGCATTACCAGTCTTTGAATTAAATTTCTCTTGATGCTGCCAGTTGACGATTACTACTTTTAGTCATAGAGCAAAACGATTACTTGAGCAGCCTTTCAGTTCAAAAACACTTACCCTATAGTCTCTTTACCAACATACATTGGGCTATGGAGTTATATAGTGGCGTATAAATAATATCAAATAAATATAGCGATTACGTGACGACAATGCTCTAATAATCTTATTTATAGTAAATCGATTTTGTCCAATAGTAAAATAGAATTTAGGACAAGATTTTTAAACAAATTCGCAAACTTTGATTTGATTGGACGAATATTTTCATGTCTATTCTGATCAGTTAAGGAATTGCTGTAACAGATGACTAAAAGATCGAGCGACATATTTCGAGGCAGAATTTCACGCTGATCAACGTTGAGCGTACATTTTAAAAATATTGTATTTTTGGTATCGATGCGATATAAACAAAAATACTGAACCTATCAGTAGTCTGGCATAATGAAAAAATTTAGTTAACTCTATCTCTTTCGTTCTTTCGTTTCATTTTTATGTGAAAAATTTGGAAACTTTTCTGAAATTGAAGTTCTATTAATCATTAATAATTGGACTTGTCTTCCGTTATGCTGATATAACATATTTTACCACAACAGCTCTCTCTGAAGTCAAGGCTAGTATTAAAGCCCTCGTAGTAACCCTTTATCAATTTTAGTTGGGGATGGTCATGCTACACTTGGTACCATTACAGAAAAGT